ACTCACCAACTTAAATGCTGATGGTTCCAGTCTGACATAGAACTCATAGGTGTTTTGCTAATTAACAGGTGAAAGTCAACATGTCAACATTAAAGCAAAGTTTCTCAGACACCGGACGCCTGTCGATACCATCTGGGGTTGCTTTCAACACAGAGATGTTTCCTCTCTGCTTTCCTGTGAAGCACCAGTAAGTTGGGACAGGATAAAACAAGACATTCTAGAGAATGAAGAGCAAAGCATAAGGGGGGCAAGGGTGGGTTCGCCTGGGCTGTATGAAAATACTGTTACTTTGGAAGGTTGACATGAGATAGTAAGTCATGAATCGTCTTTGGTCTCTTGATCAGATCAATAATAGGATCAAAATAAAGAAACTTATGCACAGCCATGAGCAAACTGAGATAGCCATAATATTCTAAATGCCAAGTATCTTAAAGTCAATTATTTATAAAGCATGACTTTATAGTATATGTCCACTTCTGATCTGATGATTACTCAGATTTTATCGAAATCATACTGTGGGCATGAGTCTGCTTTAAATTCAGGAGCTGACTCCACACTGAAAGAACATATAATATCTTTTTATCTTTCCTCATTTACTTAAGATTGGATCAGTGAGACACTCCAAGAGGAATAAGGATGTGTTTTAGGCATCAATATCATTAACTCCTAGAGTGATGTACAAAAGTCAACTGTATTATTTCAAAGGCACATGACACAGAGTAACTTTAATGTCTGATACATAGGTTCAATAAGAAAATGAAATGATATTAGGCCATAAAGTGAGAAATGATGAAGTAAGTATGCATCCATTTTCTCCCAAAGTAAGACTGGGGCACATTAATTCTTGCTCCAAAAAATTCAACAGCTCTTATTTTCATGGGTTGTCTTATTTTTTCCATGTACAATAATCTACATTTATTCATGCACAAAAATCTACTTCTATTCAGAGAATCATGTCACTTTTGCAACATCGTCATAACTCTCCAAACCCCGAATTCCAGTCTGAATTTCTTGCAATTCCATTTCCTGTCCCAATGTCTCATGGCTGGCAATAGAGCTCTCCTTAAATAAACACTAGTGTCCTTGTAGCCTGCTCACACTGGTCAACCAAGTCACAACCTCTTGCAGGCTGGTGCCACAAGGTTTCCATTAAATCAAGTGCTAATTGAGAACTTAGGAGACAGGAGCGGCAAAAAAATGATGACAGTGAAGAATGACGGTCCACCCAAAAATGATGAGAGCTTGCAGGCACCAAAATTCAGAAAATGTTTATCTCAAATGAGTGCGTTAAGGATGTCTGTTATAATACCTGATGTGCTGAATTATGAAGTTTCCTGTAAGACACAGCCACGTCTGTTCGTCAAGTGTACACACTATTCATGTGTTGTGTTTGTATTCTAATTGGTCATTCGGCAGTTATCAGGCAGTTAAGTCTGAAGTTCTTTTGTTTACATAGGCATTTACCTCTTGTGCAAAGGTGCCCCCTTGGGTATTTATAAGTACTTCATTATAATTTACTTGGGTATTTATAAGTTGGGTATTTGTAAGTACTTCATTATAATTTACTGTATATTACAGTTGGATATTTATAAGTACTTCATTATAATTTACTGTATATTATCACTTATTTTAAATATTTTTCAATAAAGTCCAGAGCTGAAGGTTTTCTTGGAAACGGGTACCAGAAATCAAACTCAGGAGCTCTTGCTTGCCAGTCAGGCACTGCACTGCTGAGCTACATCCCCGAGCCACTTATTTTAAATATTAATGTCAATAAATTATTTACATTTAACTATGTACTAGTATTTTATAATTCAACATGTCCACCATGTATTGCAATGGATGTACTAAATGCGCCTGTCTGACAGTCTTAACTGGGGCTTACTTTTGGGCTTATCTTACAAGCATCCTAGAAAAAAATCATGTGAGGGCTTATTTTTCAGTTAGGTCGTTTTTTAGGGAAAAAGTGGTATCTGTGTATTCCAGGTGAGCGTACGGTTGTGTTGTTTATATCTTCATATTAGTCTTTAGCAGTCTAAAATGAACAGTATTGCTCAGAGGATAATTAACATGCTTCATATCTAGCTATCTATTTGTTCCTCTTTCCATCCCTTTATGTTTTGTTCACTTCAAGGTAAGTTTCAGGTATCACTATGTTTCATACTCAAATACTTTAGGATGTATAACATTAATTACAGTTCAATATTTGTTTAAAATTCTTTTTTGAGGCAAAACTTATGATGAGATATACAAAGTTTAAGGTTGTCATTTGGCAGACTAGTTTTGACAGGTACATCCACTTTTATAACCAAAATGTCCTTCAACGTGTACATGGTCAGTATGATCCAGAAAATCCCTCAAGGCTCTTACAAGTCAATTTCTATTCCCAGCCTAAGGCAACCACAGCTGTGATTTTTTTTCCCATTGTAGTCTAAGAATTCATATAAATGGAACTACACAATATGTTACTCCGCTGTAAGGAATCTCAGCATGTTTTCAAGATTCACCCCTGTTGTATCATTAGTTTGTTCCTTTTTATTTCTGAGAACAATCCCAATAGAATATACTACAGTTTTAAAATCTAGCTTCTCATTAATAAACATGTGGCTTTTCTCATTTTTGGTACTTAAAGATTAAAATCACCATGAACATTCCTATACCTAAAAAAAGTGACTGAAAGATTACTGCCCCAAGGATAGGTACGCTTCACTTATGATACATTATGTTCTATTCTTCATGAGACACTATCTACTTGTAAGGAAACTCTTTGGAACATAATTTAAATATGTAAGTTAGTAAATACAAGGGATGAGGGGTTGGAGAGTCCCATCCTGTTACAGGTTAAACTTGCAAGCCGTTTGAAACTATGCAGCCTGAAGAGATGAAAATACTTTCTATTATTTGTTCATTTGCTGCTCTTCCTTGCCATACAGCTGATGTACACATGCTCGTATTGGTATCTATGTATTACAGGGAGGATAGAACAAGGTTACATAGATTCTCATGAATTAAATATTTGTGAAATTAATTTTGCCAGTTCCTGTCACTCTAAGAATCCTCTCTCCTAAGCCAAGTGTGGTGGTGCATGCCTGTAACCCCAGCACTCCGGAGGCTGAGGCAGGAGGATCATTGCGAGCTTGAGACCAGCCTGGGCTACAAAGTGAGCTCAAGGTCAGCCTGAACTGCATAGAGAGACCCTGTCTCAAAAAGACAAAAAGAAAAAGAAAAAAAAATTCTCTCTCCCATCTCCCAAAAGAGTTATGAAAGGTTTTTTGCATTTTGCATCTGCCTGCAAAATGTCTCCTATGCCCTATTCCAGCCTCGGTGGCAGGATGCTACTGAGACTTCCTGCTGCCCTCCTGGGACTCCTTTTTCGCTCTTTTAAAAGGAGCACGAAATACTCTCCATAATAAGACTGAGCTGTTTAAAAGCTAGAATTCATGGGCTGGGGATTTAGCTCAGTGGCAAAGCGCCTGCCAGGCAAGCGCAAGGTCGTGAGTTCGATTCCTGGTACCGGAAGAAAAGACACACACAAAAAAAGAAAAGCTAGAATTCAAACTTAGAACACTGAAAAAAAGCCCGTATGTCTGGTCAATTTATCTAACTACATTTCTTTAGCTATAAAATTGAGGTTTATCCGGGTTCTTTTTTGGTACCAGGAATCAAACTCAGGACCTTGTACTTGCCAGGCAGGCGCTTGTGCCTCTGAGCTATATCCCCAGCCCTAGCCATAAAACTGAAGTAACTTAATAATCATGCAGAAAAGTTTAAGAAGCTTGGAAGCCCAGAGGTAGACTCGGAACTAAAAACTGAACTTGCTCCCGTATGTTAATCTTCTATGTGATGTGCTCTTCCAGACCACCCTATCTTAATGACCTGCACGACTGTCCATCAGAGCAGTGTCCTCTCTGACACTCCCATTTCCCCTCACTTTCACAGCCAATCTGACACTTAACCTTCACTTCCGACTCTAACTTCCTAGACCCTGTTCAGATCCACCCACCTCTCTCCAGGGCCACTGCCCTCCCCTGTTTAAAATCAGTCCTCTCTTGCTGAGTTTTCCCATTGCATTGCTGTGAACACGTCCAGGCTTAAACCTGCCCTGCTTACATCTTCAGGCCAAAGCGTCCTCCTCACCCCTCCACTGGCCTTCCAGTTTCCGTAAATACCCTTTCCTTTGGCTTAGGATATGCCACATTATTGCCTCTGCGCCCAGTCTCAAGGAATTGTTTCGATTACCTCTCAGACTAAGCCAGATCGCCCTCCTTTCCCCCGCTTCCCTCATTTGTCTGTTGAGCTCAACAGGAAAGGACCCCACAGTCTGGTTTATCCCTCCCTTACAGCACTGATCACAGTTATCTTGGGATTATCTTATTGCAGTTCCTCACTGTGAAGCTGTGAACAGATGTGATTTATCCCTGAGAATTTAGCCCAGCACAATAAATAGTAGCTGGTTTTCCATATTCTACCCCCTACATCTCTATTTTTCTTAGACTGAGGCCTTCCATAACACTTGGTACTCGGCACTGCGGCTTCTCCGGAAGAAACTTATTTCACTGCTTTCAGGAATCTTACGCTATGAAATCTACTGAGAAATGCAGGAAGAGGAGATCCAGTCTCTCCATAACCTTCCCCACTAAGGCTTTCTGCAGCGGAAGAGACCCCGCCCCAGCACGGCGCCGCCGCCGCGCCTGCGCGATGGGACGCGGTGGAGGGTGCTTGCGTGCGTGCGTGCGTGCGTGCGTGCATGCGTGAGTGCGTGTGTGCGTGTGTTCTTGCGTGCGTGCTTGCGTGCGTGCGTGCGTGCGTGCCGGAATGGCGGGGCGGGGCACAAAGAACAGGGCCCTGCAGGGCCAGGGCCGGGTTTAGGTCTCACGGTGCTGAGAAACTAGGGTGGCAGCCTGGGCCGGAAAGCGCTTTACAGACTGGCTGGACCCCGCCCCACAGCGGGATGTGGGGTGCCTCGCCACCCTCCGCCCCGCGGACGGCGTGGTCCTGACCTTGCAGGGACGCGGCCGAGCGCAGTGCTGCTTCCTCCGCGGGGTAGTCTCTTAAGAGCGCATCTTCCTGTCGCCGGTCCCCTCACAGCCCCGCGCCCCTCACCTTTAACATTAGCTGCTCAGGGGTGAGCGAATGGTAAGGTCTGGCGGAAGAAACAAGTGAACAGGCGGGGCAGCGGGGCCCCTTCACTTTCCGTAGTGGGCGGGGCTTCAGCCCTTGTCTTTTAAAGGAAAGGTGCCGAGTAACTTTCAGCTAGTGGGATAAATTCCCCCGATAAAAAATGTAGGCTAGGGGACGTAACCTGATTTGTGCCACCCCGACCCAAAAATGAGATGAAGAATCGTCTGTCTAATATTTGCAGCAATCAGAACGCCACTTCCACCAGTTACAATAATAACAATCTTTTTATTTAGTAAAATACTGCTCATAAGCTTCTGTTGAAACCATTGTGAGTTGGGGAACATTGTCCCCGACTTACAGGTGACTAGGTTCCTCTCCACGCAGGGGGACCGATGGTGATGGATCCGAGGCGAATCAGACTCAAGTGCTATTAGAATTGAAAGTTCTAACAAGTAATCAACCCGGAGTTGTTCCGGACTTCCCAGAGTCAGGATAGCCAGCATAGTTGGCTGCGCGTTTTATCCACTGTCGCCTCTTGGGCCCACCCAGTACCACCAGGGTGCTCACTCCTGTCCCCTCTGTTGGAGTAGTGTCAACCACTTGCACCTTCTGTTCTTCAATAGGAAATTCCTCAGTGGCAGAGTGACAATCTGCAGGCTGGCCTTGGTGAAGCTACCCTGTGGGGAAATCTTTATATTGCTACGAGGAAGAGAAACTAACATTTACTAGCTATTTGTGGCCAATTAAAACGTTATCTTATTTAATGCTTATGAAATAACTCCTTGAATCAGGTATTTCCTCTTTATTTCTTTATAAGGAAGCGAAATCATCCTTAAATAAGTATTTGAGAACAAAATCCCAGTCTCCTTTTCCTCATCAGATAACAGTGTCTGGCTCATTAGGCTTATAATTTGTGATGTGATAAATCCCGAGGCATCTCACGTGTGACTCCAAAGTCCAGGTTTAGTGTCTGCATGTTGGCCATTTCCAAGTTAAACGAACCGCTTGAGATTCATTTTATTCTATCATAGTTGTTCCTTAATGCCAGGATATAACAGTAAATATAGGGATAGAGTGACTAGCACAGTGACTTGGGAAATGGTGCCCACATTTATGATGGCTTTTACTGATGTGCCAGGCACTTAAGTGTGCAAGCACTTAATATATCAAGTTAATTTAATCCATGAACTAATTACTAGTATTACCCATTTCACAGATGAGGGAAATGAAACATGAAATTGAGTGATTTGTTCAAGTTCATACAATCAGCAAAATGTTTAATAAAAGTTTCTGATTTGTGTATTTTCAAGACTAAAAAGAAAAGCATTGAAAGGAAGGGAGGAAAAGAATAAGAATCCAGGCAATCTTGTGCCACAGTTGGCCCTCAACTCTAATGTTCCTTATGCTGCACACTAATGAAGTGACTTAAGCAGTGGAGTAACAAGCCCCTGAAAATATTAAGTAAAATATATAGAGGAAGTGAAGCGTTGAAATACCCAAACTAGGGACTTACAATTTGGTAGGATTATTGTTTGAAGAAGTTCACACCAAGCAGTCACTGGTAACTGAAGCTGCCCAACAGCCTGCTGTTTGTGGCCCTTCTTGAAGGCTCATATGTCCAGAGCAGGTGATTTGGGCAGATGTCTCCACCACCTACAGGATGGTGGTTTCGTGTTCCTAGGAGGAGACAAGCAGAAGGGGATGGATATTACAGACACACCCTGTCTTAGCTACTTTTCTCATTGCTGAGACAAAATACCTGACACCCAAAGTTGAAGGAGGAAAGGTTTATTTAGCTTACAGTTTGTAGAGGTTTCAGTCCCTTGTTGGCTGGCTCCAAGGCAGGGTGGCATGGAACGGGGGGCACGGCAGAGGAGAAACAGTTTATGGCAGACAGAGGACAAAAAAGCAAGCAAGGGGCAGGAGTATGCCAGCCCTCTTTCTGTCCCTTATATTTTAACCAGGCAGTGGGGCACCCTTAATCCTATCCAGAACTATGCTAAGTGGACCGATTTAGTAATCACACACCTTGAATCCCAGCATCACACGTTCTAGAGTCAGCCACCTCTGAAAAGCCCCACCTATGACTTCATGAGGCTTTGGGGAGCCTAGACACAAGCCATAACATACTCTCAGAGGGAGAGAACCCATTTTTCATGTCTTGAACTCTGTTCTAATCTCCAGTTGAAACAGGACACAGTTGCTTTTAAATCTTTAAAAGCTTTGAGCTCAGCTTGATGGTGGCAGGTTTTGAAGACCCCTGGCTCTTCCAGGACCCTTCCTGCATTTATGGCCTCTATTTGTTGACACATACTTTCTTTTTTGAGGACATAATTACTACACCACAAATCTGTAAACTATCTGATCCATTATGTGCATAGAAGGAGACCCTTAGACATATGTGGAGCTTTCCCAATTATTGTTTCTACCCATCATATACACACACAAAACATAACTCAGTAAGACTCAAGTCCTAGTGGCTCCAAAACTTCCACATTTTGCATCACATGGTAATTTCCACGATAGATCCATCAACTTTCCCAGTGGATACATCAGTGTTTTGCTCTGGTGAAGGATTAATGGAAATCTTCTGTCCCTCCCTTGCCTGTTAGCTTTCAAAATTCTTTCTCTATCCACCAATACTAAAGAAGTTTACAAAATGGAGAGGAATGTAAGATTCAGTTATTTAGCCTAAGGTCTTTCTTTGAGGTATATAATGGTTAATACATTGTGTCAACTTGAGAAGTTTAGCTAAGTAACTCAGTGTCCTCACTTTGTAAACATTCTGAGCCTGTGCAAGAGGAGGGTGTGGAGATGGTTTGAGTGCTACACCTGCCCTAGGGCGGGTAGCCTGCTTATAATATAAGGGAAGAAAAGAGGTTTGCTCTTCCCCTTTTTTCCTCTTGTTGTTTTTGCTGCTTTCCTCTACCATGAACTGTTGTCCCTCTGCTATGCCACTCTGCCTTGGAGCCAGCTGATTATTGACTGAAACCTCCACAAATGGTGAGCTAAATAAACATTTTCTTCCATAATTTGGGGTGTCAAATATTTTGCTTCAGCAACAAGAGAAAAGTAAAGTAGACAGAATTTGGTACCAGGAGTGGGGTTGTTACTGTGCCTATACCTGATCATGTATTTCAAGAGCCTCTGGGAATGGCTTGTGGGAAGTTTGGAGAGATTCATAGATGTTGCCTGAAAGAGTGGAGCTAAAACACCTTAGGCTGTTCTGTATGGGAGATTCTGGTCAGAGCTCAGAAGAGCAGAAGGCTGATAGAAACCCTGCTGGTAAAGATCAGGTTCAGGAGGTTTCTGCTGGGAAGAAGGACTGCACTTGGTGCTGGACTCCAGAGAGTGTGTGTTATGGATTGGCAGAAAGTTTGTCTGCATTTCACTTGTGTCCAGAGACTTTGCCTGAGACTGCAGTTAAGGGTGGAGGACTAATTAATCTAGCAGAAGAAATTTCAAGGCAGTTGAATGTTGAAGCTATGGCATGGCTACTGTTGGGGGCTTTTAACTAGATTTATGTTCAGAATCAAGAGCAATGAGTCCAGCAGGATAGTTTAAAATATTGTGAGCTTGGCCAGAAAGGAAACTGCCATAAAACTGTGAACTACAAAGATAGAGCTAAGGAGATCCCAGTCACTGAGAAGGAACGAGAGAATATAAAAGATGGCCTGAGGGCATCACAAGAAGCTGCAAGTCTCTATCCTTTGCAGGCTCAAAACTGCAAAAGTGAAAGATCTTGCTCTGAGAAGAAAGCCATAGCGTGCCATGTTCCACAATGGTGGTGGCCTCACCATGTTCCAGAATGGTGGCAGCATAGAAAATGTGTTCCTCAGAATTGGATGCAAAGTGCCCAGTGATCCAGGAACTTGACTGCTACAGCTAAGAGTGAAGGAAGCCTATCGACTGCTCAAGCTGGCAGCAGACCTTGGCATCATCCACATGATGCTGGTTTTAGGTGCATGCAGAATGCAGGAGTTGTGGGATTATAAAGGCTCCCACCCTGATTTCAGAAGGCCTGGGAAGTCAGGCAGTATGCCCCTGAGAGGGCAGTGTATGAAGCGAATGGTGCAGTGGAGATCCCAGAAGTTTGGAAAAGGCAGAGACATGGATGATCTAAGGAAAGCTGCAAGGAGGAAGCAAAGCAGGCCTAAGAGGGAAGCCATGGGAGCTGCAACCACCAGAAGTGCCATAGGAGTGGAGTCACTCAAGCCTTTTGGAGCTCACAATGTGCCACAGACTGCTTCAGATGCTGGACATGGAACTACAGGACTTAATGCTTGCCCTGCTTGATTTTGGACTTGCTTTGATCCCAATCCCTTGTATTCCCCTGTTTATAACTTTTGGAATGAAAATGTTTATTTTTTGCCTTTGAATGTTGCAAGTGTCTAACTTTCATTTTGTACAGGGGCTTGCAGTGAAGAGTTTGCCTTAGATCTCAGAGAAGACTTGGGACTTGGACTTTTCAGCAATGCTGAAATTGTTAAGACTTCGGCAACTCTTGCGGATGGACTAAAAGCTTTCTGCATAAAGGGATGTGCGTGAGTTTTTTGGGAGCCAGGGGCAAAATGTTATGGTTTAAATGTAATATAACATTGATAGACTTAATACTGGTTCTTGAGGATTGTTAAACCTGTGTTATAAGGTTCAAGTTGTGAAATGATAAGAGTAAGTATGTGTTTATATCTGGAGACCAGTTTAAAGAAATGTGTTTGGTTACCAAGTTGTCAAGGGGTGGATTGTAATGGATGATACATTGTGTCAACTTGAGAAGTTCAGAAGTTTAACTAAGTGACTCAGCAGAGGGCCAGGGTCCTTACTTTGTAAACATCCTGAGCCTATGCAAGAGGAGGGCATGGAGATGATGTAAGTGCTACACCCGCCCTAGGGGTGGTAGCCTGCTTACAATATAAGGGAAGAAAAGGGGCCTGCTCTTCCCTTTTCTTGCTTTTGTTTTTGCTTCCTTCCTCTGCCATGAACTGTTGCCCCTCTTCAACACCACCCTGCCTTGGAACCAGCTGATTATGGACTGAAACCTCCACAAACTGAGCTAAATAAACCTTTCCTTCCATACT